TATATGAAAATACATATATGTCTAAGGTATAGGCATTCAGAATTCTGGGGGAAGGGGAGTGAGCCATAATTTTGCCCTACCACTGAGCATTCCACATAATCTATCATTTTGTTGCTCTATGCTTCAGTCCTATTTCAGAAATATTTCTTCTCCTCTCTCTCTTTCACAATTTAATATTAATTTAATACCTTGTCTATTTCTCTTTCATTGCTTGTCTCTTAAATGCTGATTATCCTTATAGCTCCATGTTAAGTTCCCTCTGTCTGCTCAGATTACACCTTTTTCTAGGCTTTCCCTTCACTGTCACTATTTCAGGTATTATCTATTTATTTTTGTCTCCTCGATCTATATCTGCACTCATAATATGCACTTCTCCCTCCTCAGTGCACACACACACTTATAAAGCACATACACTCATACTAGTTGACATTTCTACTTGAATTGAAAACTAAACCAACCTTCCTTTCCCCCACCTAACCAGCCATATGAAACATGGGTCTCGCTGCTGTGTTTCATATTTCGATGAATGGTACCTTCTCTGTCCAACCACCCAAGTCGGGAACCTCTATGTTGTTCCCTCACTACTCTCCCCCACTCTACCTGTCAATCACCAAGGCTTGTACTGTCTGTACAATTCATCTCAGCAATACCCCAAACTAAATGTTTCTACTACCCACAACTCATTTTCCATTCTTCAGATTGAGTGCTCATTCAAAAGCACAAATCCATGCCTACATATTTTTCTCTGAACTCTACATAAATGTCATAATTATTAAAGTGGCTTACAAATGCATACCTTTCACTCCTCAATGCTTCCTGAGGCTCCCAGTCACAACCTTACTGAGCCACTGTGCTGTCACTTTTCTAAACACGATATCTCTCAACTTCAGATCCGAGACCCCTTCCCCACCCTAATCACCAGGCTGATATTCATAATTCTTTACTTTTCCACTTAGAAGACTTTCTGTAAGGTATCTTGGCTGATTTACCCAGGCTGGGTTCAGTTTCATTCCTAGGTTCTCTCATAAGCTTCAATATTGACTGATCTTAGCACCTACAGGGCTGGTATGGTCATCATCTGTTTACATAAGTGATTCTCTCATTACCCTATAAGAATGAAGCAGGTTGTACATTAGATATCTGGAGTTGTTCACCCTACGTATCTACTACTTTGTATCCTTTGACCTACATCTCCCCATTTCCTTCCCCAGCCTACGGTAAGTACTGTTTTGTTTTCTGTCTCTGTATATTTGAATTTTTTTAGAGTCCACATATTAGTGAGATCATGCACTATTTTTCTTGTTGTGTTTGGCTTATTTTACTTAGCATAATGTCCTCCAGAATCATCCATGTTGTGGCAAATGGCAAGATCTTGTTATTTTCTAGGGCTGAATACTATTCCCTTGTATATATGTACCATCGTTTCTTTATCCATTCATCTGTCAGTGGACACTTAGCTTGTTTCTACTTCTTGGCCATTGTGAACAAGTTTAGAGATCTAATGTACAACGTGAGGACTCCAGGTAACATGGGATGCATACTACATGAGTAGATGTTATCTGCTGCTGCCATAAAATCAAAAAATAATGGGTAACTGTGTGAAGTGATGGATATGTTAATTTGCTTCACCATAGTAACCTTTTTACTACCTACATGTATCTCATAACATCATGTTGTCTTCCTTAAAAATACACAGAAAAATTTATTTTTAATGGTAAAATATTACAATAAGTATATCTTATTTTGAAAAAAATCTTATTTACTTTGTAACTTGCTTTTTCCCCTTAAATATATGATTGTTATACTATTAAATTTCTTCTGTACCTGTGGGGGGGACAGAAAGAATGAATCAGGATAGTGACCTTTTTACTATTGTATCCCCAGTTACTAGCACAGTTCCTGGCAGATAGGAGTTGCTCAAAACATTCAGTTTAATTGCTGATTGAATGAAATTAATCAGGGATTATCACGCTTTCAACTTTTGCTAAGTCTGTGTAAATCAATGCAATGAAGAGGTGAAAATTTAAAATGCCACTAGATAAAAGATATACAATTCTTGCACTGAGTGTTGCTTTTCAATTTCTAAATCTTGTGTTAATTTAAAAGACTGTTTAGATTTTGAAACTACAATTTTGTATTGCAGTGGATACACTCCACCATCCCTCAACACAAAGCAAGTCAGTGAGTATATCGCAACAAAGCTCATTTCAGGTTTTCTTCTTTAAGAAAGAAAGTATGAAAGAGAAAGAAAAAGAAAAAGAAAGAGAAAAGCATAACGAAGGAAGAAGAGAAAAAAGAAAAGAGTACACGAGTGAAGAGAGTAAAAGAATGTAAAGAGGTATGCAGAGATAGAAACATTTCAATTTTATGTCCTGATTTTAAACTCAGGTCTTGTAACGTTTTAACACGTTCACTATTTTCCATTTAGGAAAAAAAATTCATGTATTTTGTTGCTGCCATAGCTGTTTACTGCCTAGTTTCAGCCAGTAAACTGCTTTATTAACTGTTACTACCTACTAAAAATAA